GTAGCAGTAGTAGTAGCAGCAGCAGACTCCTGCTGCTACTGCTGCTGCCACGACTGCTATTCCGACGACGATGTCTACTACTGGTAGTAGTCGCCATTAGTAGTAGTAGCAAAAGCGGCAATCGAAAGCATTGCTCCAAAAGGTAACCCTTCCTACTAGTACGGAGCAACAATAATGCCAATAAGCATACTAAGGATATGACGGCAATAATCGCAAGCAATCCCTGCAAGGGCGTGATCCTTCAGAAACGGGACCTTCAACAGGACCCCCTTTGCCCCCTGAAAAGCCCTTAAACACGTCAGCCCTAAAGTCTAAAGGTGCTGCCCCACTTCCGGGCGATCGAGAAGATGGAGGGTAGCCCGACCTTCGACGTGGATAGCAGGCCAGGGTTGTCCGTTGTCCGGGTCAGGTATGCATCCGGGTTCCTTTAGAGGTTCGACTCTAGAAGGGTTTGGGTTTGGAGAGCTTTGGGTGTAGGATGCCCTGCCGACCTAATGACAGATTGGTTCAAGTAGCTTCCTTGAGGGAAGGTATACGGGCTCTTCAAGGTCCTATCAGGGCTTCGGGATTCGATGGAATCCGTCCCAAGCTCCAGCAGCTAAGATTTGTTTTGGGACATCCTTCGACCCCCAGAAGTTGCAGCAGGTATCGCGGTGAGGCAGGTCCAGTCTCAGTGGCCGAGCTTCACCCACTACCGCCGGGGGTTGACAACTTCCTCGCTGCAGCTTGGTTGATCTTTTTTTTGTTTTTTTTTTTTTGGGGGGGGGGCGAGGGGGGAGGGGCTTGGGTGTGTGATTTGTTTGTCCGGGTTATTGGGCCTTGGGGCTTTGGGCTTGGAGGATTCGGGGGGTTTATGCTGTAGGGTTTAGCAGGGCTATGAAAGGCTGGACAGGGCTTGTAGGTCTTTTGGGGTACGTGGTTTACAAGGTCTCGCTGGCCCCATAAAGCCACAAGGTATGATCGATATCTGCAAAACGCCGATGAAGCCCTGTAGAACCATGTAGTCCGACCCATAAAAGCCAATAATTCATACAAGACCCTACGCCCTACACAAAATGCCTTGTAAGCCCGTCTAAGTCCTCAATTAAATGAGATTATCACTGACCTGAAAAGGCTGGCATGTCAAGGGTCTCGGCTGCCGAGAGAGAGCTCGAGTTCCAGGAGGCAGATGGCAAGGCAAGGTTGGTGCGCGCTTCAAGGGGTGAAGAGGGTTCTAGGTGGCTCCTTTTTTGTAAGGCTTCCGTAGGGGCTCATTGGGAGTAGTTTTGTTGTCAGGTTCTGGGGCTTGCGAAGGGGTTGTGTAGAGTAGTCTAGGACTCCTCGAAGAGCTTGCTCGTTAATGGCTTCAGAGATCAGCCCAGAGCTGAACGCCATGCAGCTGCATCAAGGGGCACTTCAGTGTTTCAACCTCTCACCTCTAATAGGGAACCAATCAAAAAACCCACGAAGTAGCACCTGTGAGAATCATGCGACAAAAGCAGCTGGAGCCTCTCTTCTGAGATCTTTTGAGACCTGACAGGCTGCACTCTGGCGAGAAGATATCTGCACATCACAGGCGCCAGATTGCCAGGACATGGGGTACTCTCTGACTCGGAGACTGAACACGATATGCTAGCAGAGGATCGTGACATGAATGCTGATCTTCACCTGCCTTTGCGCCCGCAATATGTCACGCCCGGCCCCCGAAGTCTATCCACGTCGCAAGCCCTGAAGATCCCTGAAGCCCTAGAGATCCCCAAAGACCTGGAGCCCTAAACTATGCTACTTGCCTGCTCCACTGGAGCTCTCTGTAGACTCGCGGCAGAAAAGGGCCCTCCCAAACAAAAAAAAGACCTGGCAGAGTTTCAAAGGCGCCAGGGCTGGATGCCCTCAGACTGGAGCTTCCTCGAAGCAGGATTGCGGTCTCCACATGGCAGGGTCCACTACGTATTTCACTAAGTATTTCTCAACCCCCCCTTGAAGACCTTCCTAGAACTCCGAAGCAGTCATCCATTGCTGGTCAGATCAAACGAGTTGCTGGCGAGCTGATGCACAGCAGCCAGGACTGCCCGGGCTCGGCCCAGGCCCAGGATTTGGGATTCAAAAGTGTGTCAGTGCGCTGAGGTTTCGGGGCTTTTTGTGAATGTTCTCGCGTTGCTTACCCTTCTGGAACGCGGAAGGAGCAGTTCGGGCAGCGAAAGAAAGAGTTAGATGCCATGCTGGAAAGAGCCTGAGCCTTAGAGCCGGGAAGAGTTGCAGTCAGAAGCTCGTTTGATTGCACCACCGGCAAGGTTGCAGCTTACGCCTTGCTGGCACGTTTACAGAGCTCTAATGTACATGCCCACGGAAGGGGAAGGATACCTTCTCTATCGGGCTGTTTTTGTAGTCTTAGCAACGGACGGAGGGATGGACGGAGGGATGGATGGATGGATAGATCATGTACAGCATTCTGAACACCCGGAATCACCAGGCCAAGCATGCAGTGTCCTTCCATGGGATGGGGCGGATCTAGCTGGGAGCGTAGTCTGCGCCTGATGCCAGGAGCACTTCAAGAAGACACCTCATCAGGAAGCCCAGGTGTCCATGAAGGCCAAAACAGAGGCGGGGTGCGCACAAGCTGCATTTTTGAGACTGTAGGCTCGGGAGTCGAAGGAGTCTAGGGTTTGAGGGCGAAGAGGGGCTTGAGGATTTGGGGCTTCTGCAGCCATGACCATGACGTTTTTGTCAGGAGATGTCCCATCGCGGGCAATGCGCAGCACTGGAAGCCCGGCAGCGGGTAGGCCGGAGCCGCCGTTGACAGCTTTTGCTGGGATGATCCTGGGAACCGGTGGGTAAGAGACTTCCGGAGCTGGGCAAGCAATCTTTCAGAGAGCTTTGGACAGGGAGGTTAGGAGTTATCTCAGCGCAGCAGGTGGCTCCAACCAGTTCATGATGAGCGACCGTTGTGATTCCAGGTGAAGAGATGGAAGACATCGCCAAGCGCGTGGTGGTGGCCAAGGAGCAGCTAGTGAAGATGCGGGCAGCATCCACAGCTGCAGCTGTCGATTTCAGTTGGGTTGCCGTCCAGTTTTAAGCATGGAATCCAGGCGATGAGGTCTTTGATATGAACCGAGGATCAAAGTTTCAGCCGTGTCCTTTAAATTGGCTGTCCAGAATTGGTGGGAGAACTCCGTCGCCGATGCACCGGCTCAGCAAACGCGAAACCCTACAGACCATAGGCCATAGGCGCCAGTCGAGACTAGCACATAGGAAGAGCGAGATTTGCATCTGACCTGCGACGAAGGTGAAGTGCAGCGCGAATGTCAAAGAGCTGACGGGACGATTCGAGGTTCCAGGGGGGATCTTAGCCATGTTGTGCTGCCGGTGTGCTTGGCATTATCCAGCTTCTTTGGCAAACCAAGGCCTCTGAGGCCCAACATCAGAAACCCTGGAGCTTCAGGAAGACCCCCGAATCGAGTTCTGCCAGAGGATGCAAAGTGCGTCTACGAAGCAAAAGTTCGGGAAGTCGCCAAGCAAAATGAGGCCCACGACTCCCTTGCTGTCATTGTTTGGGCCGTTCGGACTTGGAGAAATGATCGACGAGATAAGGGGGTCTCCGAAAATAGGGGACCATAATATAGCACCCTAAATAGTAGGATCCTTATTATAAGGACCCCAAAATAAGGTACCCTAATTTTCGGAAAGCCCCATAAGGCATCACGAATTCAGCGTCTGCTGGGTTTTGAGGAGCTGCTCCAGCGACTCGCCATGATTCGGGCCCAGCACGAGGATCATTGCAACGAGAGCAGAGCACTCAGACGGCACTTTTCTTGTCCGAGACAGGCGTGGAGCATTGTTGGCACGTACACACACGTACACACACGGACAGACAGGCAGGAGGTTATTTTAAAACATGACGTAATGTGTCTTTGACTCCGAGACACACGCGCGCACACACAGTCGAACAGAGACGCAGTTTCCCCTCCCAGATCCTTGGGACTTGCAGCTGCTGCTTAGGCTTGCAGAGAGATAGCCAGCTGCAGCAGGCAGGGCTTGTCGTGGAGTTCCGCTGGACTGCAGGCTAAATCAGAAGCCTAAGCCTCTTATGCCCTAGAACGAAAGAGCTATAAACAGCCTAACCCCCGCAAAACCCTAGAAGACCAAGCCCTAAAGCCCCCAGAACCGCAAACTTCCCCTAAGCCTAAGCTTTGCAGACTGGGAGTTTCCGAAAATGAAAATAAGGGTGTACCTTTTTTCGGTGTCCTTATCATAAGGATCCCACTAATGAGGGTACTTTTTTAATAGGGTCCCCTATTTTCGGAAACCCCCGACTCAGGAGCCCTAAACCCTAAACTTCCACCTAAACCCCCAAACCCCCAAACCCCCAAACCCCTAAAACCCCTAAAACCCTAAACCCTAACCCTAAACCCTAAACTTCCCCTAAACCCCAAACCCTAACCCTTAAACCCTAAACCCTAAACCCCTAAACCCTAAACCCTCACCCCCCAAGCTTTGCAGACTCCAGGAGCGGCAGGGAGAGATCCAAAAGATCGCCTCGCGCTCCCAGGAGCTGAGCCTCTCCCGGGCGGTGCGCTGCTGGGAGGGAGAGAAGGGGGTTTAGAGGTTTATAGGGGTTTAGGTTTTAGGGGTTTAGGGGTTAGGGTTTGGGGTTTAGGGGTTTGGGGTTTAGGTTACGGGGTTTAGGGGTTTAGGGGTTTGGGGTTTTAGGTTTGGGGGTTTAGGGGTTTGGGGTTTAGGGGTTTGGGGGTTTGGGGGTTTGGGGGTTTGGTGTTTAGGGGTTAGGGGTTTAGTTGTTTACGGGTT